ATGTGTACAGAACACATTATTACAGCAAGCAGTAGCATGTGGTATGTGATCAGTTGTAAGTGCAGCAAACAGGACATTTCAGGATATCTTTTATGAAAATTGCAATGTCCTTATATATGTTGTCATCCCCTTTTGACAGAAACTCTTGGTTTTTGTCCAACTTTTTGAGTACTGAATCCAACTTCATGTTTTCCACAGATTTAGACATAGCACCTATTGTTGGAATTCTTGTGAAGCATTTGTGGTACTTGTACTTGCTCCTCTATTGATATTCTTTGCCAGTACAGCAAAGATCTTCCTGGTGCCAGACCAATATTTACCTATAGGTGCAAGTAATAAAATGATCATTTGATGATATTAATAATTATAATTTTGATTAAAGATTCCTCAGATAATGATTAAAAGAATAAACCTTTTTCCCATTCAATGCGAGCGCCTGCTGTAATAGTACACAACAGACTYACTTGCGTAGAGAACAAAAGAAGATCGACACAGCAAGATAAAGCGCGGATAGACCTTCTAAATGAGTTGGACGAGTCAACTGTTCTGGTTACTCTAGACAATCAGCGACAATACTTAGAAGAAAAGTTTAGAATTGGTCAGGAAAGTGGACATAAAGCCRACCCCGAGYAGGTGTCCATCRACATGAGACACGCCAAGTATGATGATGGAAGCCGACGGTTCACTGTAAATGAGTTTTTGTCTACACAGCAAATAAAGTCTACTTTTCCAGGACAGCGGCGAAATTAAAGAATCTTTCAGACAATGACACTGATTTAGAAGCCATAGCAGACCAAGTGCACTTTTCAAATGCAAGACAGGCTATCATCCAAGAGTGCAGAGTAATTCATCCAATTACATATGACACACATAACATTTGCGATCTCTATGCAAGCAACAAGCTAAGCTAAAAGTTCAGCGTAGCAATGCTACGAATGATGTGTGACCATTTTGGAATTGATGTACAAGACATACCAGAAAAGCGCAAAGTCAAAGCACCTTATGTGGAACTGTTAACTGAACTTGTGAAATCATGTTCTTGTAGTATTTAGTTATATCTGTTGACATCTATTATTGGAGTTCCTGTGTGTCACGCTTTCTTGATAGGCGTGACGCTCTGTTTTGACAAGCGAAGTCCCTCGACAGAATTTTAAGTATCTTCCGATCCATGGAGTAGAAATTCTTTCTGTCTTAACTTCAAAAGTCTAGTATAGATAGCTTGCTGTTCAACAAACGAAGGCTCATTTGCCAGTCAGAATGCACACTTTTTTACACGTTGACCCGGTCACTGTGCAAGTTTTCAACTTTCAAGTGATAGTTCAAGTCCCAATCTAGAGGTAAATTGTGAAGAATATCACAAAAGGAACACCTAAGACAGCTTCTAGAACTCTTTTAAGCAAATCAAGTTTAAAGAAATCGATTTCTGTTTGCTTGGATAGTTAACTGCAGGTTTGAAACATAAGATGCTAATTGAGCGGCGACATTCTTTTGACCTCGAGGTCACTTACTAAAATGCTTCTAAAAACATTTCTTTGCAGTAGCCCAAAAATKTTATTGCAGAATTTAGAAGAAGAAATGATGTTCTTTCAAGGAAATCTCATGTTATTTGACAAAGCAGAGGTCCAATTGGTGATTTTTGCTTCTCAATTTAGTCAAATTTCCGTAGTTCAAAAAGCATAAAAATTAGCATAAATTGAAAAATCGCTAAAATATTACAATTTGAATAAAATCATTCAAATAAAACATCTCAAAGCTCTTTATTATCTTCCCTTTAAAGTAGTTAGAACAGATTTCCAAATAGATTTAATCTCAGTTTGTAGACGATCTTTGAGTCAACCATGGTGTTGGTCCTGTGTGACGAGTTCGTCGTGACTTGAAACTAAAATCTGGAATTTTGTATTAAATAAAAATCTGAGCGAACTRAAAGTTATATTTTTAGAAATAGCTCTTSAAGGCCTATGTCCTTGACCTATGTCCTTGGCCTATGACAAAGTTTGAAGAATTTCGATTTTTCGATCTTGCGGTCGATATTTACAGACGGCCGCTCTTAAAATGCTGAGTATGGATCAAAGGGCAGCACAACCAACTTAATAATTTTATTGGAATAATGATCAAGAACATSAAGAATAATATTTTTCTGTTGAAACAGCAAAAAGGTGTGAATTTCATGAATCAACAAAGGAGCTCAAAACAAAGTTATGATATACCAATTCAATTGTTCTTTCAGTACATGAAGGCATTGAGAAACCTCAAATATTGCACAACTTTTTTGTAATCGAATCTATATATCTATGTTATTATGTCAACATCTTTTCATTTCATGAATTTTTGCTTTTTTCCTGAAACATTTTGTTGTTCTGATTTCATTTTTATGATTTTGTAATCACCTTAATTTGCATCTTTTTGAAAAACTTAATTTGTTAATAAAATACTTCAAAATACATCTATGACCATCTTGCAAGCAGCTCTCACAATCTCCGAGTTATGTTGCCATTGSCAGCTTGATTTGTTCTGCTGCTAAAGCCTGAACTTGTAAAAGTGTCTTCAAGTTTACTTGCGTAGCGATTTCAGAAAACTCGAAAGCTGACAATCGTTTGCGCTTTCGCGGACGTGATGCACGCGCGTCGTCTGATCCGGTCGACTGGTCATCTTCTAGGCCGTCATTCGTTGTAATGCGTCTATTCTGGGACGTATTTCGTCTGGCATGTCTTCTTCTACTTGCTGAATTTGTAGTTGGGTCATGATTTCTGGATAGACGCGGATGATTACTACTCTGAATGAAGTGTCGATCTTGTTTGGTCACATACGACCACTATAATAATACCATACTCTTCCTGGAGAATTGTTTTAGAGTTTATCCAGCGTTGATTCCTATCTAATTTGACACACATGTGGTARTGAAAACCGGAGATTTGGTGAGGTTCGCGGGAACAACACCATTGCAATAAACGGGCTGTACCAGATGCGAATGAATTCCTTACAGCCGTGACAAAAGATTCGCGAGATGGAAACTTTGTAAGATCAGCTTGACTATAAGTCAACAAATAAACACTTCTAACAYAATTGATAGGCATAGAAACCGTCTGAATAGATTCTTCTGGTTCTTCTGAGACACTTTCATCACTAGCATAACTTCGCACAAGTTCCATGTTGATTGTGGAAGGAATTCTTAGCTAGGCGCTTTAATTTGCACATTTTATGCAAATTGAGGGGTGTGAGCACCGTGTAGAATATTTGTTAAAAATGCCTTATATTTTGATCGAAATCAGATATCGTAAACAAACACATACATAAACAGCAGTTTAAATAGGTTTTCTAAGCGTTATAATGATGTATAATGAGACAACATTTTGAAGTTTTARAATTTTTGCAAAAATACATTTTTGCAAAAATACAATCCTGGTCATAAGGGTTGAGACAAAGTGATATAAATAGTGTTTTTATATGTTTACTACTGAAGAAAAAGCTAATTTAAATCCCCCTTCCCCCCCACATCAATGTTGTGAGTCGTGAATTATCGTTTGTGGTCTTTCAGAAACTACATTCCTTCAACTTTGTAATGAGGGGAGCCGGGAGTAGGGAATTGTAGGCATTTAAAAGCAACCTCCCCAAATTTCATTAATTTTAGAGTCAAAAAATGGAATGTCTCAACAAGGTTTGACCGGGATTGTAGGAGAGACATCGCATGCATTCCTGAAGTCACTACGGCCGCCAGATTGGGCATTGTTATACTTTAAATTAGAATCAAGAATCCCAGACGAGGGGTGGCAAACCCTTACAAACATAACGAACCTTGGAAGAACTGGTGTAAGTAATATAAGTCTTCAGCTTAAATTAATAAACTCTTATTCTCTTCTCTTGTTTTAAGATTGCATTATTAGACATACTATGAGCTTAGTAGTGTTAGTGTACTAAGTCATGSAATTTCCCACTGGCTGATCTTGAAATTGTTGAATTTCAATGTGACATTTCTTTTAGATACTTGTTTGATGGTATATATTAATTCTGTTAATAAAAAGGCTCTGATACTCCTTTACTTCTAAACAAGAATCAGATAAAAGCTGTGCGAAAGATGGTATYCAGTGTCATTCGCAAAACAATGGACATTAAAAAACTGAAAGAATGGTTATGAAGTAAGTCTTTATTCAGCTGTTGTTTTGGCAGCACGTGAACAAAGACTTCATGATCCCCAAGCCACAGAAATGGAACTTAACTTAAAGCTTGATGGGAGACCATTTTTTGGTAATGTAAATATATATGATGCTACATATCATTGATATTGTACATTAAAAATATTTAAAAATCATAAAAATCTACCCCTCTTTACTTTATTTGATAATTATTATGACAATCTCATATAAATTGATGATAAAATTAAGCGATAAAAAACTGTTTTTTAGAAAAAACATTATAATGCACGACGTTTCGACGTTAACATAACGTCATTTTCAAGTAAAGGGGAATGGAAATTACAAAATGCTCATATATAGGAATAAAACAATAGGAGCTAATTTACAATTAAGAATATAAAGGAAAATATGTACAATGAAATATAATAAAAAGAGTGTGTAACAATGTAAAGTAAGAAAATACAAGTAAATAATAATACGAAATATAAAGATAAAATTAAATAAAAAGTTTGGCGTTTATAGAGTCACTTTGTACGTTTAGTGATGGTTTCAGCTTTCTAATGTATAGCATTTCAAATATCAGGCAGTTGAACTTGTTTTTGCATTTCTTCAACACATTGAATTGTTCGTGGTTTGGTCCCGTGAGGATTCCATGATGTTCTTTTAAGTGTTTTCCTACTGTAGAATTGTACTTATGTTCAATTATGCGTTGAAAGAGGTGTCGGGTTGTCATGCCAACATAATCTRMATCRCACAGATCACATTTGAATTTATAAACAACGCAGCTTTGATTGATAAGTTTAGGTTTAGTTTCACTGGGCCTTAACACATCCTGGAYCTTTCTGCTGGTAAATATGGRCTGRATYGTGACTTCGATCTTGCTGCTGAGATCTTTAAACTGCTTTCTAACTGCATTAGCTGATTTTTGATCCTTAAARGGAATASGTATTCTTACTGTCTTGTMAGGATCTTTATCACTAGCTGCTACTGATTCTTTGTTGTTATTGAAGTTCTTGATTGTAGTGTTGATGAGGTTAATTGGGTAACCAAGGTTAAGAAAAATAGATCGTAGCTTTTGGCATTCATCTTCAAAGTACTGATCGGTTGATGACAGTGCTTTAGTGACTCTATAAACGCCAAACTTTTTATTTAATTTTATCTTTATATTTCGTATTATTGTTTACTTGTATTTTCTTACTTTACATTGTTACACATTCTTTTTATTATATTTCATTGTACATATTTTCCTTTATATTCTTAATTGTAAATTAGCTCCTATTGCTTTATTCCTATATATGAGCATTTTGTAATTTCCATTCCCCTTTACTTGAAAATGACGTTATGTTAACGTCGAAACGTCGTGCATTAAAATGTTTTTTTCTAAAAAACAGTTTTTAATCGCTTTATTTTATCATCAATTTATATAGTAAGCCACTATTTAATCTCATATAATCTTTTTAATAAAATGAAATGATAGTGCATTTGATCCTAATACTTATCCCAGATTGATTGATAGCTAGGTTAATTGAATATGTGTACATTTATTCATTTATATGTTGATGTTTTTTGTTTGGCACAAATTTATAGGAAAATCTCAAGTTATGATTGGGGTTGTTCCCCAAACAACCAAGCATTCAAAGGTTCAGAGTGCCACAAGTGTTTATCCAATTGCCATTGCAAACTGTTAAAAGAACAGGTACAACTACGTTGTTTTATTAATGTTCTAGCTTAACAAAAAAGTATTATGTGCACAAAAATTCACTTAAATGATCTCTACAGTTTTGTCTAGCACATAGCCTTGTCACGTGACCTTCTTATTTACTATGGCTCTCTGGGGACTGGGAACTATGTACCCCGTGTCAATATGGCGGACAAACATGGCCGACGGCGGTGAGGCTAAGTTTTTGCTTTATAAGGAGAAATGCTNTTGCCATTCATACTGCCCAGCCACATTTCAAGCAATGATAATAAGTCAATCAGTCTATTTTTTGCCATGATTTTTGAGTTAGGTCCTTGAAAAGTCTTTCGATTGCAAATTTTCCTTGAAAAGTCCTTGAATTTGGAGGAAAGGCCCTTGAAAATCCTTGAATTAGTCTTGATTGTCATMAAGTAATGTTTTAGGGATTAATTTAGTCAAGCTTTGAAGCACAATGACTAGAATTCAATCCTTTATGCGACAGAGATTGAGTAAAATCTTCTCCAAAAGAGAAAGTACTTCAACAAAGTTGACTGCAATGTTCTTATTGTTGCTGTTTGTCAAGACACAGGTTTAGAAAGTTTACTAACTGGTATCTTTATCTTTGTAATTCATGGTGTYCRTGAAAAATTAAAATTAATCCTTGAAAAGTCTTTGAATTTTGTATAAAAAAAATCTGTGCGAACCCTGTACACTGATCAAGGCAGTTTAAAATAATTCTCCCGTGTTTATTTACAGCATTTTGTACCTTTTGCATGACTGTTCTTTTTAGAATGCATTGTTGATTTCTGTTGAAATGTCAACATATGAACTTCACTTGAACTTACTTTACAATTTAACTTAGGCCTCATTTAAATGGAGATAGGGCCACCTACTATGGAGGCCAGCTTTTTGTAGTGTGCATAGTGGGAGGACTGTGTTGGCAGTGTTGTTAAGTTGTTTATTTTCAAGGAATAGASCACAGCACAATAAAGACAAGCATTGGCAAGGAAACTCCTGAATTTGCCATCAAAAGAGAATGCTTTAGCTTCGTATATGGTTATTTACAAAGCTCGGTGACCATTCATGATGCCTAGCCCTGGGTAAAGTTTACATACAGTATTGTGTTTTGATTCTTTGGGGAGGGYGACCCTCCTAGTAGGATGATCAACATGTTTTAACAGAGCCTTAAAGGTGATATAATGATAATGTCTTAAGAGCCTTACATGTATTTGTAGGCTACCAGTTTTCCTTTTTTTTGTTAAAAGTAATCTCAATCCTTGAAGCATGAATATTACAAGAGAAGCGTATATTTCCTGTGTTATTTTAAAATCAACATTAAGTTAATAAATGATTTTTTGTTAATATTCAATCATTTCATGACAACAATTCCAAAGTCTTGCTGAATATACATGGTTGCGGTTTGCAAAATAATACACAAGAAAAATACATTGTTATTKTTACTATATGATGATAAAAAGTCAACCAGAATTTGTCAAAAAATCGGTTCTGCATAAGTTATAAAAAAACTTATGCGAACAATATTATAGACTTTTAAATTAAGGCATGTTGTTTCTTTGACTCAACTTGGTGAGATAGTAGGTCCACGTCATGGAAAAAACAACGCTGTTTATAACTTTACACGATTTTCATCTCAAGCATTTGAGAACGAACTTTTTTTGTAAAGTTTTTTTTTTTTTTGATCGAAGGAGGAAAACCTACCTCAAAACGCAGAAAACTAGAAAGAATTCGTTTTTCAGAGCGAACTAACTAAAACTGACACCTTTGAGTGCTTTAAAAAAGCCTTAGTCTTAGTTAGATGGAATATTTGACCATGTTTAACTTCTTTTTTTCAGTGATTTCAGTGATAGTGTTTGCTAAAAACACGCAAATGTTTAATCCTCCGCCATCTTGGATAGCCGCCATGTTGACACGGGGTACATGAAAATCAACCAATCGCGTTCAATTAAATAGCARCRCGCAAGAGCCAATCAGAATCGAGAATGAAAAAGCTATGTGCTAGACAAAGTTGTATCTCTGAAGAAATATGTTTCAAAAAGAAATTGCGATTGATCTAGTATATAACTGTATGGCTGACGTTTTATATTCTTAATTTTCTCGGAAAATGTAGAAGCAATTATAAAAAACATCAATGACATGTCTATGTGAGAAGACATGTCAAATATAATGAATGCTATAATCCTATCTTATCTTTTATCTTTTTTTATATCATTATAGTAGCCCTTGATTACAAGGCTTTAGTGATGCTGCTCGAGAGAAAATGTACTTGTGACGACAAGGAGGAATACACAGAGCATTCTGAGGGCAGCCCAAAATCATTTCCAACAGAGCTTTGTTGCAAAGGACTAGATGTTGAATGTTGCGCTGTTGCGCTGTAGGTCTGTAAGKGTATGTATATTCAGAGATTACAAGATTATTTTTTAAATAACAAAATAATGCTTTAAGGTAACATTCACTGCAGTCAAGTATCARGCGCGCTACTTTTTCTTGTTTATGTTTAGGGCTGTGGTTGCCCAGGTATTTCCAAGGGAGAGTCATGTGCTAAATGTTTTTTGAAAAGCAAAGCAAATATTGGAAAGTAAGTAAAATCTTTTTCCTTGATTTACACCCGGGTGTGGGGGGGGGGGGGGGGTTACTCCCCTATATTCGCTATACGGGGACGTGACGCCAACCAGGGTATCGTTTTCAGCGATTTTACTCTGTAACTGGGTATAGTTTTTAGCGATTTTACTCTGGAACAGGGTATCGATTTCAACGAATTTACTCTGGAACAGGGTCAGGGTTTAATTCCGGAATTATTGATGCTGGATAAAAATCCACGGGGTAAAAATTAGGTCTACACGYAGACTAGTGCTGGATTTTACTCTTTAACAGGTTATCGTTTTCAGCGATTTTAATCTGGAACAGGGTATAGTTTTCAGCGATTTCACTGTGGAACAGGATCAGGGTTTTGATATCCCAGCGGCAYCACCCCACCCATTTACATTTCTTTTCATTCAATTTGTTATGTTGTCTTAATAATTTGTTTCATTTCACTTACTCTAAGCTGATCAGCATATAGATATGTGTTTGTGTATAATATTAGTTTAGGCAGCAGGGAATGCTTAAGGCATAAGAAATTCACATGATTAATCAAGCATTAATTTAAAAAGACTGCGATTTTTATATGTGAATTTGACAGCTGCTTATAGTAATTTAGAATATATATGTACATAATATATAACATACAAGTTAACATATTAACATATATTTATAGCTGGACAGGAAAAAGAGATGACTTGCTTTTCCTCCTTGATGAAGATTTGTGCAATGTCAACCTTTGTGCCTTGGATCACGCCGGGCGTGCGCTATCCGAAATGGTTACGATCGAACGTCCTGTGTCGCCATCTTGGAAGCGTGAACAATTTGGGAGACTGGGTTCTAAACTACGAGTGAAAATACGGGCAGACTTCGGCTCTCATTWTCCTAATTAAAATTTATCGGAGACACATCGGATCGAGGTATATGATAGGTCGGACATTGCCATTGACAACGACTTCAAAACACAGCGAAAAATGGCGGGATTTTAATGACATTTTCTTCGTTTCGCACGACTATAATCATCAAAAATGATGTTTTTCTGCTGTTTACTGCTGTTTTTCGCCCTTGATTTTTCTTTGAAATGATTTGATTGATCAACTTATATACTTCGGTCTCTTTATCTTAGATGACCAAATCAACACTTGTTGATTTTTTTTTTGAAGAATTTTTTTGAGGTCATTTTTATATATAAACATAACATAATAGATCATGCCTCGGTTCAACCTTGGGTTGTACATGAAAAAGAGAGAAGGAAACTCCTTGACGCTAAGATACATCAAAAAAAAAGAGAGAAGAGTATTGAAGAGTATTGAAGAATATTGAGAAAGAACTCAGTAATGAAGATAGATTTAGAGGAAAGTACTTGTCAGATAAGTCAGTAAGATTAAGGAGGAAAAGACCAACAACAACAGACATCAGTGTTTCACTAGCAAAAAAGAGAAGAAAAGAAATAGTTGATGCTGCTATGGAAATTAATGGAGRTAGAACTCTTAACTGATTTTAAAATCAATCATCTTTCATTGACCTACACTGTATGGTTTTTAATTGTAGGTAGTGATGAGGATACAACACCTGGGCAGATTGGCCTGATGGATGCAGTTGCTTCTACATGCAGTTCAGACCTTATCTCAAAAGTGCTGGTCAAGTCAAGAAAAGTACAAAGATCATTTGGAGAGAATTACAAAAAGGAAGTTAAGAAATATGAAAGCAAATAGAGTTAGAAGCATAGCTATTTATTATACAGGCGGGGTTATGGGTAAACTTAAATACTGTAAAGTGTATAGATTAAGTTCCTTTAAGGTTGATGGCAATAGTAGGCAGAATGCTTCTTTGTCTATTGCTGGTTGCCCATTTCCAAAACTTTTGTCTTATGATAAGCTTGTGAAGTGTGTTAAGCAAATACCTATAGGTACCATTAATAGTGTTCGTGACAACCTTTGTCAAGACATGGCTCCTGGAGACAAGGTAAATGGTTGCTATAGAAATCTAGAGGAGACACTTTTAACTTTAGGGCAATATTATTTGTCAAATCAATCTATGTGTGACTTTAAGTGGTTTTCTGAACAACCAAACACTTTTCTGTGTCAATAGGTGGTGATGGTGCACCCTTTGGAAAGGAGGATACAGCTTGTGCTTGGCTGATTGGAWTATTGAATATTACTCGGGGTGTCTTAAGTAGCAATGAAAATTTTTTGATTTTTGGTGCTAACTGCCATGAAGACAGCCTTGCTGTAAAGCGCTTTATAAAGCTTCTCTTAAATGAGATTAATGAAATTGAGAAGAAGTCTTACCAACTCAAAGATCAAAATGGTGATACAATCACTGTCAAATTTCGTGTCAACGAGCTACCTAATGACATGAAAATGATTGCTTTTATTTCAGGGGAGCGGTCTAATAGTGCAACCTACTTTTCATCTTTAGCAGATGTTACGCGAGAAAATGGGAATAACCTAAATGGGACATTTGGCAAAGATAAAGAAAACACCTGGCACCCTTGGGATTACCATGATAGAATTAAAGTGGCAAAAAAGGTTTCAAAAGAAAAAATCAAACTTTCAAAGAAAAATGTAAAACCACAAACTGCACGCACTACAATCACAAAA